TCACAGATGTTGACAACTGAAAAAAATGAAAATCGATTTTCATAAAACCCGATAAGCAAAAATAACTGCCCCAAAATTAAAAATTGCAATAACGAAATATCGCGATGAATATCATACCAATATTTTTAGCTCAATGCAGTTTGACAATTACCTAAAAAAGCTTTATTTGATGGGTTCGTAACATCATTTGCATAGTAATAAGACGTGAATCTATACTGCGATTCTATATTTTAATCTTCAATTTTGGGAAATAAGAAACATCTACAAAAACAAAGGATATTTTTTTCTTGAACTCACATGACATTGGCGAGCATCTCTTTAATTTTTCTCTCTCATTTCCTTTCTGTTCCAGCGATTTGATTCTTTTAGTCAAGCTATCGTACTGATCAATTTTTATTGAAGTTACATTTTCAATTTCACTAGATAGGCTTAGGTCGTTATCGGAATTGCCCGAGCCAGGTTCGATCTCTGGACTGCTTGTGACAAAGCTAATATTACTTCGATGTTCCTGAGCGCAACATCCAACTACGCATAAGAACGTAAGAATGAAGGATGCTACCAAACTCATTTTGTAGTGAGAATCAGCACAAGGGTATCGATTTACGATAATGAAGGTATGACTTATGTACCGACGCTTTTTATATGATTCTTCATTTTTTTTTGCCAACGAGTGCCTTTTCTGTCAATTGCCGGGCAGCGCAATAACCTCGCGGTTGAATTCTTAAGATGCAAATGGCATCGCAGATTACACAAATCCCATGCGCCCTGCCCCACTCAGGGCCAGGGGTAATAAATTGCGTAGGCAGTGCCGAACCCAAAAGGTTCAGGTCATTCCAAATAAATAGTAACTACTCAAATATCATTAGATGTCAGTGGCTGTTTATACAGAATCTTGTTTTGAGTGGGAGGCGCGGAAAGGCGTCGTACTTAGAGAAAATCCCATTTCTTGTTTCTTTATTTTTAAAGAGAATGACCCAGAATCGCGAGAGTGTTTAATTTTGGAATATTTTTGCAACGTTAGTTAATTGTGAATTCATACATTTGTATCTATCTTCTCTTGCGTCATTTTCAGTAGCCATTATTTAAGTGTGTTCCCGCACTTATAAAATTTTACTCGATGCCACATACGTATTCCAGTTTGAAGTCTTACCCATATAATAAATCGATACTTTGACTGACTGCATTTGACTGCGATTGTATTTTTGTCAGAATTGTCATTTTTTTTTCGTAAGCGTGGCGAGGTATTTAGGCCCTCACATCGGTATTTATTCTCTCTATAAATCTTGTTCCAATAGGTCGACGATAATTAATTTTAATTGAAAGTCCAACGCGTAAAACGAGTTATTATTTATTCATCGGCGACGAGATGCTAAAGATAATTAAAGGAAGGAATTCACAACCCGACATCATGAAAACAGAAACGTTTTGTTCAAAAAGGCCCGCGACAGATTAAAAAAGCTTTGTAAACATTGTGAACATGTAAACATTTCTGAGTGCCAGCAATTACAAGGTAGTGTACATAAATAGTACACGGGAAAGGTAATGTTTGACCTAATTTCTCAATATGACCTCCAGGACTGCGACTTCATTGAAAATGCAACAACCGCTACGCCCACGCAAAATCTCAACACCATAATAAATTTCCAAACTTGCAGTCGGTGCAGTTTTTTTTATATTTGCTGTAGGCGAAGAAATAAATTTTATTTCAACTGACATGGAAGCGTCATCGTATTACACAACATATTTATTCTACAAAATCAATGGTGAAGCCAGCCAGAACAAAATTGCTCGACTCAATTTGACTAATTTTTTTGTCGGCTAGATAGGTAAATAATACGTGATGCCCATGAACAAATTACAGCAACATCAATAACCAGACCATCATTTTGTTCATACTTTCGTTTGATTTTTGAAAATTTTCATCTCCTTATTTCAGATTTTGTCAACGATTTCATAAAGCTGTAATCAACATTTGAAATGCCGCCAAATACTCTGCTTCGATTCAAGCATCGGGGCTTGCAGCTACTATAATTGCATGTACTCTCGCTGTGGTTGTTATAACCGCAGTTATTTTCGGTTGCATTATCTGGTGGAAAAGAGAGAATGAAAAATGCTAGTTTATAATTGGAATTCGTAGTATTACCAGAGGTTTAACTTGTTGTTTCAATTGTCCCTATTTAAAAACGAGGAAACGAACATATACTACGTAGACAAATAAATGTCATGTATTTGAGTTTCCTTCTATAGGCCTAAGATATATTTATTTTTACATTTTGATTAACATTAATCGCCTATAATTGTTTGTTTCATACTACTACTTCCAGTATTCAGGTAACCCAGAAATTTGGGATCTCTACAAAATGGATGAAAAATAGAAAGACCAAGATTTGTACAAATCGCCCTTTTCTAAATTGAATAAAGATAATTTACAGATCACTGGTGTAATTTATTTTGACTTTCCCTTGTAAAAATGTTGTTTAAAATCCACATTCTAGTCAAACGCTATTTGGGAAACCTGAAATATTATGATCATGTTTTGCTATAAATCAGGGATTTGCAACCTGAGGCCCGCTCGCCAAATTCGGATCACAAGAAGAAAAATGTGTCCCCCATGGAAAAGCGCAAATTTTGAATAGTGGGAGGTCTGCGAAACAAATTTTTAATTTAGTTCAATCTGGTACGCATGAGTAATTCCAATCCATTTGCGTTGCATAGCCTCTACCGGAGGCCAATGACGTTACAATGCCCTAACGGCTGGCTTGTGCGCATGCCATATGATCAATACCCAAAATTTGTTTGCTTGTAACTACTATAAAGCCTATGGGTAATGAAAGATTCGACCCGCAGTATCACTCAGATATTTGTATCTGGCCCTCTTGTATTGAAGGTTGCACACCCCTGGGCTAAATTATGGCCCTTCTGGCAAAACCCTCAATTAAAAATATAGTTCAAATCAATTGAACGTGACGCGAGCTAAGTTATTAAATTTTCTGAAATAAGTAGTGTTTTAAAATTAAAAAGGGGTAAAAGAAAATTGATACTTCAGTTTTCGTGGAATGTTTTCTGGCAAATACTTGACTTTGTCGAATTTTTTCAGAATGTGCTAGTGTGATGTCTTCTTGTCATTGAGGTTACAAAATGATAAAATTCATTAAAAATTTGCTATGTTTTATTAATTTTTCCTTTACATCATATCATTTTTTTTCATTCTTAGGATTTGGAAGACGACTGAATGAACATTGCAAATCACCCTGCTTCATAATGTTTTCGTAAATCAACACGTTCAGATGAATGTTCTCGTCAACACACAGAGACCATGCTAGGCTAATACATGCTTCATGCCATATAAATTCTGTATCTGCACATACAATTCTATTTTTCTGAATTCCGAAGTATTTCGACATATATGAGCTAATTGATTAAATTCATGATTTTCCATTTCTCATTTCATATGAATATTGAGAATTTGAACAGTTGGCAGTTAACATGAAATGCTATTTATGTGTACTAAAGTTTTCGATGGGAAAAGAAATATTGATGTAATATTTTGATATTGAACGTTATATTTGATATAAAATCACGAAAACACCAACAAGATATAGAAATAGCTGTTAAGCTTATTTTTTACTGTTGTAGCTAGACACAATGATAATGACCATTAATATGATCAGGCTTCAATGTTATAAGTAAATCTTGTTTATGTTTTTCAGCCACGCACGTAATGTCATATGTTGCAAATGCTTTAAATAAAATGTACAATAAGTAGAAATGGACTTCTCATTTCGAGTTTATACGCGCCATAGATAATTCCTGGAACATTTCCATCGGGATCAACTGTAATCAAACAAAGTCTCAAACTCACTGGCGATAACAAATTAAAGTACCAGTATATATTATTTACATATGTATTACACGACATTTGAACTCAGCAAGGGTTTTCAAAATGGAGGAAGAGGTTTAAAATTACAATCTCTCACGCAACGCTTTCTGAATCGCTGCGATTACAACGATTTTTAAAAGATCCGACTTTCCCAGCATATAATGATTTTTCTGTCGCGCCAAATATTCAATCTATGACTGAACTGACAACTAAGGGCTTTTAAAATGTTTTTCTTTGTTTAGTTAGTCAATTATATTCAACGTAACTCAAGATGAAAGTATTACTTTCAAATTCCACGGCAATTGGCAGATCTAAAATTGTGTGGTGAATTATATTTTGATTCGTATTTTTCCGAGTTGCTGCCCCTCAGCTTATTTTGGGATATTATCGTCTGCGATGGAGTACAATTTATTGTGGTACAGTATTAATTCGATCGAGTATACTTTACATATATTATCTTATATATCATTTCAATCCGGAAAAAGTCGCCTTCTGCCCCGCCGGTAGGTTTAGAACGAATAAAAAGGTGCATCACGCGCACAGCTGACTGTGTTTCGATTTCGTGACGAGGGTATGGTTTCCAGGGGCCCATCATTCCATAACATGTGTGCCGTAGTCACACAAAATTTTGCGATTTACATTGTCTACAAAGCCTTTCTAATCTGTCGCGGTCTTTTTTGACAAAACGTAGGCGCCGGTCTCGGAGGTCAGGTCATCTCAATGCAGTGTTTAACGTTGCTTTTTGCTAAGGTTGAATCACAAATTGCCACTCACAGATTTACTTTTTCATACATGTGGTTTTGTACTCTGATCTTTATGTCGATTCGTTTTAGTATAATAGTGAGATTTGTTACTTTGTGTCACATCATCAGCCATTATGAAAATATATAGCATAACCAGCGTTTTATTTTAAGCTTATCACCGACTCAAATCGAATGTATTTTTATCAGTCTGAATATTTGTTGTATAAAACAGGAATATAAAATAAGTGTCGAATTATTATGACGAGAAAAACTCAAATAGGTATTGACGAAAAAGGCACTCGTTGCTAAAGAAATGAAGCACTATATAAAAAGCGTTGGTACCTGAGTTCTACTTTCATTATTGTAAATCGATACTTTTGTGCTGGTTCTCACTACAAAATGAGTTTGTTAGCATCCTTCATTCTTACGTTCCTATGCGTAGTTGAATGTTGCGCTCAAGAACATCGAAGCAATATCAGCTTTGTCACAACGAGTCCAGAGATCGAACCTGGCTCGGGAAATTCTGATAACAACGTAAGCCTATCTAGTGAACTTGAAAATGTAACTTCAACAAAAATCGATCAATACGATATCAGAATTAAAGCGCTGGAACAGAAACTGAAAGAAATTGAGAGAGAAAAAGTTAAGAAGTGCTCGCCAACGTCGTGTGAGTTTAAGAAAATATATCTGTTCGTAGATTCTTTTATTCTTTCTATTATTTTGTTTCACCTTTCTGTGTTTATCAAATTGCAGACGAAATTATATAATATCAGCATAGATTTCGGTATTATTGATAACTTGACGGTGTTTGTTGTAATCCCAATCAGTAAATTAAAAAATAATTTTGATTAAATTGACAGATTGCATCGATGCCTGATCGGGATTCCTGAGTCTAAAATATTGTTTTTATATTTAATGCAATTTAGTTATAACAATTTTTAATATAAGTCAGATTTTCAGATTATCGAGTTTCAAGAGATTATATATTTTCAGTTTTAGAAACCTGGGACATGGCATCTTTAATCATGGAAAAAGCTCGCGAAACAGCAATAAATGGTAAAATATTTGATTATTTTTAAATAATTACAGACTTGTAATAAATAATTAATTGGAAATGATAATTTCACGAATACGAGAAAGTCAATATAAGCGATAATTCAGAAAGAAAAATACAACTCGCTAAACGCAACCCCCACGTGTAAGAATTTTGTATAAACTAAAATAATTATTCTTTAGTTCCAAACGATTCTCAATGTCAAACAACATGTCGACCAGGCAAGAAAGGCCCAGAAGGTGCAAAAGGTGATATCGGACCGACAGGACAAAATGGCGCCACGGGACGTCAGGGAGCTAAAGGAGAAAGTGGAACATCGTTTAATTGCTCCCGATATGATGAGTTGGCACACAAAGTTCAAATCCTCGAAGAAAAAAAAGGTTACTATTGCAAATTTATAGTCTTATTATACTTTATTACCCTGTTTTATTCAAAAACCTTACGTTATTTGATTGTGTCCAAGTGTTGCATATGACAAAAAAATGAGGATTTGTAAATCTCTCTCTTGATCCAAACGTCAATATGGAGCTTTGGCTTTTTTTTTTAGATAAATCCTAATTTTAAGCAAATATATACTTTTTTTATATAATTCTATATTTGTTTTTATTTCAATTTTAGCTCGAGAATTACAACCCTTAGCAGATGGTTGGTATCGTGTTCACAGTTACCCATATTGGTACAAATTGTTACAAGTATCGTCAGACTATCAGACAGCCAGACAAAACTGCGAACTCATGGGTGGCCGATTAGCAGCGAATGGTATTCGGAATCCAACCATTCGTAGGTAATTCAACACTGATCTTGCACTAATAATAGTATTGTTATTCGTCTCGATAATTATTTAAACAGCAATACTGTTGCAAAAACTCTTTGGCAATCACATATATCCGGTGGGAAAGATGGAAAGTTTTCCTTTTATAAGGTTTGAAAGTTATGTAGTTTCATACTCACTTGGTTACGCAGAACCAGCTGAATTTCTGGTGAAACTTCTGCCCCGATTGGGGACAAAACAATTGGAAATAAAGACTTTTAAGTGATGTAAATACAAATAGATTAATCTAGTCTAGAATTTGCACAAAAGCATTTTTTTGCAACTGTAAGCTAGAAATTAAATAGTTTAACTTTTTGTAAGTCATTTCATTGTGAGAACAAAACTTTGAATACTTTAAACTTTTAAGTGAGTGTTGGATCCAATTCATTGGAATAAAATTACGTTGAACATTACTATTCGTATTTTTTAAATTATTAGATATTGTTGGTCCAAATTTAACATAATATAATATTATTTTCAGCGATCTTCTCGACAAGTTCATCAGAAGAACAGAAACTCCGAGCTGGATAGGACTTGACGACCTTGAGAAACAAGACAACTGGAAATGGTCAGACGGAGTTTCATCAACTTCTTCAAATACACCATGGAGTGAAGGAGAACCAGATGGTCAAGATCAAAGATGTGGGTGTATGTGGCATGACTATCAGTATAAAGTAGTAGATTTAAATTGTAGTTTTCAAGCATTCTATCTTTGTGAGAAGTAATGAAAAAAGACCTTCTGTTTTACTTATAATTAATGAAAATAATATTTGAAAATTTGTGTCTATATTGATCTTGAGTTTTCTGAGAATGGCACCGTTTGAGTTTCGCAACTACGTCGATTTTTATCGGATAGTTTTTAAGTAAATTTTATGGTTAATACATGAAATAAACGCAAGTTGTTTTGTTCGAGTCACCTTTTCAAGCCTGCATTCCATTCAGAAAATTGTTATTAGCTTGTAATATCTAGTATTTGTATATCTAGTTATAAATTGACTGCTATGATGGCTATAGCTTATCAGGAATGGTTTTGTGTATGGCGGCTATATCATGTCGGCTATAAAAGCTTTACCCTGTCGGCTGTAGTTGACCTTGGTCTGTGATTCATCGCATTAAAATATTGTTATTGTTGATAAAGGACTTTATAAACTTACAAGACTCTGTCTCTAATATTTATTCTGCTTTAGTAATTTTTATTTGGTTTAAAGGATTTTGCATTGTATATATGTTGGGTATTATAAAAAAAGAATACGAATAAATCATTTGCTTATTTGCTTTGCATTTATTTAACTTAATCGAAAGTTTCAAACAATCATCATCTCAAAGTAGTATGTTTTTTTAAAATTTAATTCACTAGTGCAATGTAATAAGCGCAATATCTCAGCAGGTCAGCAAATTCCCAACCAATATTTTGCCATGCTATGTATGAATACGTAGCGCAGCCGAATATACTTCAATCAGGTATATTGGAGGCACACCCAGGCAAGCCTCGGGCGAACAAAATCAAATCGAGGTATGGCAGTCTATGCCACTCATAAAAACCTCGCTTAAGTCGTGCACAAACAAACTCGCATTACGCATCCGGAAACAATCTCGGACTTTTGATAAAATCGGGAGTAGATGACAGACTTGGGCGTCGGATAATCTCGATGCACTGATTGGAGTTCCTATTTGCCCAATGCTCAAGTTGTAGTATTTGCTCAATTTGCAATATAAAACTTGCAGGCACAAACATTTTAACTTAAATTAAAGTCGCAAAAAGATTTGTTACATTCAGAAGATATTTGATTAACTCCGATAGTGTTAAAGAAACTTATTTCGGAAGAAATCAATCGGTCTATTCTGTAGGTGACTTTCCGCATCCTGTTTACGTCGTACATGTATCTAACATGTATGTACATGTATTTTGCCGTAACTGTATCTTTCTGATTGCCAGTAATTACTATGTAGTGTACATAAATAGTACACGGAAAAGGTAATGTTTGGCCTACTTTCTCAATATGACCTCCAGGACTGTGACTTCATTGAAAATGCGAGAACCGCTACGCCCACGCAAAATCCCAACACCATAATAGATTTCCAAACTAGCAGTCGGTGCAGTTTTTTTTTTATACTTGCTGTAGGCGAAGAAATAAATTTTATTTCAACTGACATGAAAGCGTCATCGTATTACACAACATATTTATTCTACAAAATCAATGGTGGTGCAAGCCAGAACAAAATTGCTCGACTCGATTTGACTAATTTTTCCGTCCACTAGATAGGTAAATAATACGTGATTCCCTTGAACTAATTACAGCAACATCAATAACCAGAACATCATTTTGTTCATATGTTCGTTTGATTTTTGAAAATTGTCATCTTCTTATTTCAGATTTTGTCAACGATTTCATAAAGCTATAATCAACATTTGAAATGCCGCCAAATACTCTGCTTCGATTCAAGCATCGGGGCTTGCAGCTACTATAATTGCATGTACTCTCGCTGTGGTTGTTATAACCGCAGTTATTTTCGGTTGCATTATCTGGTGGAAAAGAGAGAATGAAAAATGCTAGTTTATAATTGGAATTCGTAGTATTACCAGAGGTTTAACTTGTTGTTTCAATTGTCCCTATTTAAAAACGAGGAAACGAACATATACTACGTAGACAAATAAATGTCATGTATTTATGAGTTTCCTTCTATAGGCCTAAGATATATTTATTTTTACATTTTGATTAACATTAATCGCCTATAATTGGTTGTTTCATACCATTACTTCCAGTATTCAGGTAACCCAGAAATTTGGGATCTCTACAAAATGGATGAAAAATAGAAAGACCAAGATTTGTACAAATCGCCCTTTTCTAAATTGAATAAAAATGAAAATAATTTACAGATATATAGTGTACTTTATTTTGACTTTCCCTTGTAGAAATGCTGTTTAAAATCCACATTCTAGTCAAACGCTATTTGGGAAACCTGAAATAATATGATCATGTTTTGCTATAAATCAGGGATTTGCAACCTGCGGCCCGCGGGCCAAATTCGGATCACGAGAAGACAAATGTGTCTCCCCATGGAAAAGCGCCAATTTTGAATAGTGGGAGGTCCGCGAAACAAATTTTTAATTTAGTTCAATCTGGTACGCTTGAGTAATTCCAATCCATTTGCGTTGCATAGCCTCTACCGGAGGCCAATGACGTCACAATGCCCTAACAGCTAGCTTGTGCGCATGCCATATGATCAATACCCAAAATTTGTTTGCTTGTAACTACTATAAAGCCCATGGTTAATGAAAGATTCGACCCGCAGTATCACTCAAGTATTTGTATCTGGCCCTCTTGTATTGAAGGTTGCACATCCCTGGGCTAAATTATGGCCCTTTTGGCAAAACATTCAATTAAAAATATAATTTAAATCAATTGAACGTGACGCGAGCTAAGTTATTAAATTTTCTGAAATAAGTTGTGTTTTAAAATTAAAAAGGGGTTAAAGAAATTTGATACTTCAGATTTCGTGGAATGTTTTCTAGCAAATACTTGACTTTGTCGATTTTTTTCAGAATGTGCTAGTGTGATGTCTTCTTGTCATTGAGGTTACAAAATGATAAAATTCATTATAAATTTGCTATGTTTTATTAATTTTTTCTTTACAACATATCAGTTTTTTCATTCTTAGAATTTGGAAAACGACTGAATTGTACATTGTAAATCACCCTGCTTCATAATGTTTTCGTAAATAAACACGTTCAGATGAATGTTCTCGTCAACACACAAAGACCATGCTAGGCTAATTCATGCTTAATGCCATATAAATTCTGTATCTGCACATACAATTCTATTTTTCTGAATTCCGAAGTATTTCGACATATATGAGCTCATTGATTAATTTCATGATTTTATTGTCCATTTCTCATTACATATGAATATTGAGAATTTGAACAGTTGGCAGTTACCATGAAATGCTATTTATGTGTACAAAAGTTTTTGATGGAAAAAGAAATATTGATGTAATATTTTGATATTGAACGTTATATTTGATATGAAATCACGAAAACACCAACAAGATATAGAAATAGCTGTTAAGCCTTTTTTTTATTGTTGTAGCTAGACACAATGATAATTACCATTAATATGATCAGGCTTCAATATTATAAGTAAATCTTGTTTATATTTTTCATCCACGCACGTAATGTCATATGTTGCAAATGCTTTAAATAAAATGCACAATAAGTAGAAATGGACTTCTAATTTCGAGGTTATACGCGCCATAGATAATTCCTGGAACATTTCCATCGGGTTCAACTGTAATCAAACAAAGTCTCAAACTCACTGGCGATAACAAATTAAAGTACCAGTATATATTATTTACATATGTATTACACGACATTTGAACTTAGCAAGGGTTTTCAAAATGGGGGAAGAGGATTAAAATCACAATCTCTCACGCAACGCTTTCTGAATCGCTGCGATTACAACGATTTTCAAAAGATACGACTTTTTCAGCGTATAATGATTTTTCTGTCGCGCAAAATATTCAATCCATGACAACTAAGGGATTTTAAAATGTATTTCTTTGTTTAGTTAGTCAATTATATTCAACGTAACTGACAGTCGCGACAACTCATGAAAATGAAAGTATTACTTTCAAATTCCACGGCAATTGGCAGATCTAAGAATGTGTGGTAAATTTCCCGATTATATTTTGATTCGTATTTTTCCGAGTTTGCGAATTCGACAATACTGAGCTGTTCTTGCAACACTGACTCCACTCTATCGCTGCTGCCACTCAGCTTATTTTAGGATATTAGCGTCTGCGATGGAGTACAATTTATTGTGGTACAATATAAAATTGATAGAGTATGTTTCACATAGTATATTATCTTATATATCATTCTGATCCGGAAAAAAAGTGGACTGCAGCCCCGCCGGTAGTTTTAGAACGAATAAAAAGGTGCATCACCCGCACCGCTGACTGTGTTTCGATTTAGTGACGAGGGTATGGTTTCCAGAGGCCCATAATACCCTAACATGTGTGCCGTAGTCACACGAAATTTTGCGATTTCCAATGTTTACAAAGCTTTTTCAATCTGTCGCGGGCCTTTTTGGCCCAAGATTTATAGAGAGAATAAATACCGATGTGAGGGCTTAAATAACTCGTCACGCTTAAGAAAAAAATTGACAATTCTGACAAAAATACAATCGCACGCGTTATCAGCGACTTTTTCGGTCAAATTCAGTCAGTCAAAGTATCTACTTATTATATGGGTAAAACTTTGAACTGGAATAGGTATGTGTACATCGAGTAAAATTTCATAAACGCGGGAACACACTTAAATAATGGCTACTGAAAGGACGCAAGAGAAGATAGATACAAATGTATGATTTCACAATTAACTAGCGTTGCAAAAATATTCCAAAATTAAACACTCTAATAAGTTTGTTAGCATCCTTCATTCTTACGTTCTTATGCGTAGTTGGATGTTGCGCTCAGGAACATCCAAGTAATATTAGCTTTGTCACAAGGAGTCCAGAGATCGAACCTGGCTTGGGAAATTCCGATAACGACGTAAGTCTATCTAGTGAAATTGAAAATGTAACTTCAACAAAAATTGATCAGTACGATAGCTTGACTAAAAGAATCAAATTGCTGGAACAGAAAGAAATGAGAGAGAAAAAGTAAAGAGCTGCTCGCCAATGTCATGTGAGTTCAAGAAAAAAATATCCTTTGTTTTTGTAGATGTTTCTTATTTCCCAAAATTGAAGAATTAAATATAGAATCGCAGTATAGATTCACGTCTTATTACTATGCAAATGATGTTACGAACCCATCAAATAAAGCTTTTTTAGTTAATTGTCAAACTGCATTGTGCTAAAAATATTGGTATGATATTCATCGCGATATTTCGTTATTGCAATTTTTAATTTTGGGGCAGTTATTTTTGCTTATCGGGTTTTATGAAAATCGATTTTCATTTTTTTCAGTTGTCAACATCTGTGATATGGCATCGTTAATTGCGGAAAAAGCTCGACAAGCAGCAACAGATGATGAAATTTATTTTTTTAAATAATTACTTGTATGACTTGCAGTAGAGAGTGGATGCTTTCTTATCATTGGACACATACAAATTTTCCTATAATTTATCATTTAAACTGTCTGATGCAAATTTTTCCAAAATAGGCGCTAAAACTTTCTTACGTTTTGATTCGAATAATTTAATAATCTGCTGTGCAAAAGCATTGAATGTTGATTTAATCCATTCGCCTCTTCGTGACATAATCGGCATAAGAATTCCATAAGTACAATAAATTGAGTTGTTTGGTCATCTTTTTAATTTCATTCTCCAAATCTTTTAAATAACATGACATTGAAAAGACATAAAAAAAAATTCTAAAAAAAATTCAGCATATCAACTTCATCGATATATGCATTTTTAAGCTTTTTTCCAAATTAAAATAATTATCGTTTTTAGTTCCAAACGATTCTCAATGTCAAACAACATGTCGACCAGGCAAGAAAGGCCCTGAAGGTGCAAAAGGTGATATCGGATCACCAGGACAAAATGGCGCCACGGGACGTCAGGGAGCTAAAGGAGAAAGTGGAACATCATGTGATTGTTCAGGATATGATGAGTTGGCACAAAAAGTTCAAATCCTCGAAAAAGGTTACTCTCTCAAAATCATACCCTTATTATACTTTGTTACATTGTTTTATTCAAATAACTTACGTTAATTGATTGTGTCTCAAGTGTTGCTTATGGCAAAAAAAAATGAGGATTTGCCAATATCTCTATGGATCTAAACTTCGAAATAAAGCTTTGGCTTTTTAGATGAATTCCTCTTTTAGGTAATTATAAAGTTTTTTTTAAATAGTTCTATATTTGTTCTTATTTTATTTTTAGCTCGAGAATTTCAACTGCTAGAATATGGTTGGTATCGTGTTCACAGTTACCCATATTGGTACAAATTGTTCGAAGTATCCTCAGACTATCAAACAGCCAGAAAAAACTGCGAACGCATTGGAGGCCGATTAGCACCAAAGGGTATACGCAACCCAACTATTCGTAGGTAATTCAACATTGTATATTCTAATTATTACAGTTGTATTGTCATTTAGTCATTTGGCTCGGTAAATACTTGAAATTCACTAGTAACTCAAAGACACTTTCACAATCGCAAATTTACTGCGAAAAATTGATCAATCTAGAAGTTGTGCAAAAGCGATTAGATGGTTTTTGAAAATACAACGTATAAAACTGAATTTTGGAGTTCAACTTTCTCCACTTTATTGTTCAAAAGTAAACATTGAACAGTGTTTTAGTTTCGTTTTGCATTTCAATTAAGAAAAAGAATGTTTAGAACTCAATGCCTTAGAACAGTGGTTCCCAACTATATAGGGTTCCGCGGCACATTAGTGTGCCGCGAAAAGATTTTGGTGTGCCGCGAAGAGATTTCATTTTTGAATTAATTTCAAGTTATTTCAATTTCCAATTCCTTGAATTCCACAAATACCTCACGACTCTTGCTGACAAACAGAAATGACAAATTTGAGGAGTCGTATTTCAGATATTTGGTTATTATTTTAATTCTTAGGTTTTCCATAATGCGCGCAAACACCGTTTCCTAAAATTTAAAATGTCAACCAAGGTAACAATTTATTGTGCAAAATTTTCCCCAAATTTGACCAAGAAATTATTATTTGACTATAGTAGAATTGCCATTATTGCCGATTTAGTGAACTTTTATTTAAACTCAAAATAACATTCAGGATTCACGCAATGACTTTGCAGGGTTTTTATTCACCATTTAATACGAAAATAAACCAGACACAATAGGAAAGTAAAATCATAAGAAGGTCAACTATCGTCTTTACAAATATCTGCATTCCGACGTCAGAAATAATAATATTGTTAGCATAAAATTGGGACAGTTAATTAACAATCGGTGGGGAGAAAGATCAAAACCGGCGTAAAAGATGAAAATCAGAATAAAAATCCCGAATTCACTCTTTAATATCCGTCTTTAACATATGTCGCCCATATGAACGCATAGTTCTCCCAAGAATATAAAACCAAATGTTGCATAAAAATTATTTCTTGTAAAAAAAGAGAGGACGGGCGGAAATAGATCACCAACATTAGAATGCCTGGATGCCCGTTGTATGTGTATTAAAAATGTCCGATATTCGACAATTCATTAAAAATATTCGAATTAAACGCGTGGTAGTACAAACACTGATGCAATGAAACTTAATACTAAAACCTTCATTAAATTTAGTGAATTGCACTACTTCACGAAAGTGTGGTGGAATTGACGATTATTTCATACCTAGAACACAGAAACAGTTGTTTTTCGGATAGTTTCTGCGGTCTGAAAAGTAGAATAAGCTTTTTGACATAGTAAATGCTACGATCTTTGCCATCAAATTATGCTCGGGCCTTGCACAAAATTCATAACGTGAGAAGATTCGTTCATCGGTGAAAATTGTTTATAACAACCGCAAACCTATTTAGTGTTTTTACGATAATAATTAATTGTTATAAGGATGTACGGTTTGTTTGCCTCTTTCATTTACTTCGCTATAGTACCGACAATTAAACCATTGAATGATTTTGGCAATGGGAGAAACATCAAATTGTAACAAAAATAAATTAGGTTGTGCAAAAGTGAGAATACCTGTGGTAATAATAAGGCTACACCCAGGGGAAGGGCGAGAGAAACTAAAGCGTACTCGCGTCACGTATTACCCGTGCGGCCGCGCATCTTTTTCGATAATGTGAGGTGCTCCGAAAGTGGGCCTCGTGTATATTATTGTAAGAAAACAGTTAAAATATCGGTAACGATTACCCATCCATTTTAAATACAGGATATGTTATATTAACAAGAATAGATTCTTCCTTATCTGATCTATTATTTTATAGCTAAATTGCTTCAAGAGTAGGAAATTTTCCTGTTTTGCGATAGGCGTGCCGCGAATATTTAAATAGCCCAATAGTGTGCCGCGACATAAAAAAGGTTGGGAACCACTGCCTCAGAAAATAATACGTCGAACTTGATTATATACTTTTTCAAGTTCTTGGTATTGTTGGACTAAATTATGTTCACTATGTTCAGAATACAATAAATTTCATTTTTAGCGATCTTCTCGACACGTTTATCAGAAGAACAGGAACTTCGATCTGGATAGGACTTGACGACCTTGAGAACCAAAACAACTGGAAATGGTCGGACGGAGTTTCATCAACTTCTTCTAATACACCGTGGAGTGAAGGAGAACCAAATTGGCCAAATGAAAGATGTGCTTGCATGTACAAGCCTTTCCAATATAAGTTGATTGATACCCTTTGTTACATAAAAAGATTCTACCTTTGTGAAAAGTAATTTTTCTTTCTTACTTTCAAAGAATTGCAACAATAATCAGGAAATTATACTCTGTAGCCTATCCACAACCCAGGCTAAAGTTCAAGCCCTCAATATCAATACGGGCCTAATTCTTTTTTAATTTCTTTTAAATGCATGTTCAGAATTAAACTGGTTCAAAAAATCATTTCAAAAATTTATTCCTATTTTTAATCATGAGTTACTCTTGTTCCAAATTTTCTCGTTTGAAATGTTAAATAGTTAAATATACGGCTATTTAACTGAATTTGTCTAAATTTGAAAAACTAAAATATAGATTACAGGGGTGGGCAAATTACGGCTCGTCATTATTGATTGTTACGTCGTGCTTCTTGTTATTATATGAACAATAGCCTAGCTGTTGGACTAATTGATGTAAATGAACTATAATCTATTCATAGTTTTTGGTTATTTATTCATAATGAGTTTTGAGCCTCTGGCTCAGTAACTAAGTCTATTATATCGAACTGGCCCCCTCAGAAAAGTAAATGCCCGCCCATATAGAAGATAAAACATATGTGCATGTAAAAAAACAAATAGTAAATAATAGCCATATTACTTTAACCGAGCAACAGCGAATTCAAAAATTATAAATTATTTTTTATTATTTAAAGACGATTTTCATTGTAGATCTGTTTATTTTGAAATGGGATGATATTTATATTTATCAGTAATGCTAGTCAGAATGTAATAAATGTGAAACACTTATACCAAGACAATGATAGTCACGTAGGGGTAATTCGACTTTCAAAGCCAGACAGATTGGTCAACAGAACTGAACTAGATGATAAATTTTTCCTTTGACAATTTTCCAGTGACGTTTTGAAGTAACATTTAGGTTTCATCTAGGACTAGGACTTGCTGTTTCCCGACCTTTATCCCGGCATCGTCTTACAGGCATTTGGCGACCTGTTTACTAACTAACGAAAAAGGCGTGGAGGTAGCTATTGTGAGGTGAAACACTAGTGGAAAGAAATTTATCCCTCTTAAGAAATCAGAATAACAAGTCGGTGCAAATGTATAGTTTGAGTCACTAATTGCTAGCTTAGTATTGCGGTTACCTGGAAATCGCATTCAAGATCTTTTTTCTCAAAAATCGATTGTGCCCGTTTTAAGCCGGAAAGCTTGATGTATATTATATACGAACCAGGTAATAGCTCTACTGCCTACGCTCGAAGCCAGTATCGGTGTTGCTTTTATTGCAATTTATTGACAATGCGCCTCATATCACGGTTTGTCTTATGGCCCATGAAATACGACACCAGTATTCTATTCTCATCGTATAACGACTGTCGAAAAATATTGCATAAGAGGAAGATGGTTTCTAAGTTGTGGTGTATGATTACACTAGTGTTTTTATAAACAAGAAATGATCGTTGGAGCCAGTAAGTATAGCCAGCATCAATTCATGAGTTTATATATTCCGAATTGTGCGTCTAATGTATACAAACTCCATTAGAGATTTTCTTGAAAAAGTACTATCAATCGTATTATTAAAATATGGAGTCCCACGTCTGATAGCTTAGAGATGTTCCATTATGATAAACCTACCATAATGGTATGGTAAACTTGTGAATTGTGTAAAATTTTTAATATTATACTCAAGACACATATCGCACTTTTCAATTGAACGTAGGATAACAATCTGTTTAATGAATAAACACACAGATATGATACAGTGAAGTATTCTCGTGTAAGGTTGGCATGTGACACAATGTAACAGATCTCAAAAGCATAACGAAAAAAGGATCCGTGTAATAAACCACATGGTCAACCACAGGTCAATCGATTGTATTCGATGCACCTTTGTCCAATGTATTTTATACTATTAACATCAATTGTAATATCTTCAGTATATTCATTCTCTTACAATCGTCACCTTATCATCCCATGGGTAAGTGTGAACATGATCAAATGTTGAATAATAAAGTGGAATTGGAGGTGAGAAGTCAAAGCGTTGAAAACAAATGATATTTATAATACGTACTGTAGGCCACCAGAACCTCGTGTGATTAAAACATAAAGTGACACTGCGAGATAAAACAATTCGCCTTTGTGTCCTATGGTGGGAATTTATTTGATGGTTTATAGCGGCGTCTTTCTTTCTTCAAGTCATATTTTGTTTTTTGTGGGGATGATCCATCAATTCACAGGTTTAGTACGAGAGCCAAGGCAATATATTACTTATCTTACTATGCGTCGGGTCTCATAAAATAATAAAATTTGCGCATAAAGTTTGGAAAAGAAATAGTAGTTTTATACACCAATATTGCTACCTGCTTCTGGCTGTGACTTTAGAAACATGAAGAACCAGTCGTATAGGAAAAGAACTAAGATAATAAAATTGAGTTCTTTATTTTGTTCAATATTCCCAAAAGTACACGAAGCTCCTAAAGTTTCCATAAAATTCCATTTATTACCACTTATTGAAACTTCTATTAGTCCAGAAAAACTCAAATTCGATAATTAAAATCAATTCAATATGATCGATACTCGGAATACAAGATTTTATAAAGAAAATGGTTGTTGATAAAGATCAAGTTTACAATAAATATATATTTCCACAAAAAAGACGGAAGAAAAATTTTGGGAATAAAAATACAATTTACTCAATTATTGAACACTGAAAAGTCGTAACCATATTTTAGCAAAGTGACTATAAATATTGTTATTTCGTTTGTTTATATTATTCTCATTAATTAAAATAAAAGAAGGGGATTTTTCAATTACTTTTCACAAAGGTAGAATCGCTTGTTATTACAACTAGAATCTGCTATCTGATATTGCAGTGTATGGTGCATACAAGCACATCTTTCATTTGAACCATTTGGTTCTCTTTCACTCCATGGTGTATTAGAAGAAGTTGATAAAACTCCGTCTGACCATTTCCAGTTATCTTGTACTTCAAGATCGTCAAGTCCTATCCAGATCTGAGTTCCTGAACTTCTGATGAACTTGTCGAGAAGATCGCTGAAAATAATATTCCTTTATGTTCAATTTGGACCAACAATGTCAAATAATTAGAAAAATATGAACATGAACAACATATGTTAAACCAAATATGAAATAAATATTTGAAACTCTATTTAAAATAAAAAATAATAGAAATAAGCTGTTTATATTTTTGTTATCAACAACTTTTAAACCCCATACGAAAAATACGTACCATCTTTTCGTTGGATATATGCGATCGTCAACGTTTTTTTTGCACCAGTATTGTTGTTTAAATATTCATAGCCAAATGACCTATTCGTAACTACCATTATAATGCTATGTTATTACAATGTTAAATTACCTACGAATAGTTGGGTTCCGAATACCATTCGCTGCTAATCGACCACCCATGAGTTCGCAGTATTTTCTGGCTGTTTGATAGTCTGACGATACTTTGAATAGTTTGTACCAATACGGGTAACTGTGAACACGATACCAACCATCTGCTACAGGTTGTAAAGCTCGAGCTAAAATCAAAATAAGAACAAATATAGAAAACTAATCCTAACGGTTTGACGCATGCGCGACGTTTCAGACGTTTTGCAATGCTGTGTGTATACCATGAGGTCTGGAATGTTTGTTATGGTCTTGCTTGAAAGGAAATCTTATTCCCCACACAACGATATGAGAATGAACCTTACATGACATTTAAAAGTGATAAAATTTCGCTTACATATCACGCGTGTACTTCCCGCTGCGATATAAAAACGTCGCACAACAAGAAAATGATTCCATAAACCTTGGCGTTGCGCGCTAACCAATAACAAAAGCTAGTATGATAAGGTCTTATTTTGAAGGTCATTTTATATGCTACATAACATAGGAGAGTGGACATCTCACAACGTCAGGAAGTTATAAAAATATCGAGTCGTTTGATCGCAGCTGCCTCACCGAAAAAAAGTTAGGCGTTTTATCTCGCAAATTCTCCTTGTCTGACGATTATAAGCTTTTATGATTCATAATAAATGTTTTATTATGACTCACAAAAGCTTTCAACGCGATAAAGCACAAACAAACAACCGATCGATCTATCAAGCTTAGCCTGGCCTGATTCGATGTGGTGACTTCTCAAACGGAAAATTTCCAAAACGATTGAACGACACGCGCTAACGAATAGCGTTTAGTATCATATGAAAGAGAAAACCGATGTGCAGTCAACTGTATAGTTACATTTCAGCTTTACAATAGCTGTAGACGTCCAACAGCTGATAGAATGAGAGAGTGTAAATATTTTTGTTATTTTTTGACGTTACGAGAGACCTCTTGAAAGAGGTGTTTTAGTTTACGGTCCTCCAGTGACATCTAGCGTATAGTACTCTATATACCTTTCCAATGGTATATAATTATTGTATATTGGGTAAATTTTGGGGGTCGTATGACATTAATAAAAATGTATTCAAAATTGGGCTCGATTGGGCGTCTGAATCAGGTTTTAAATAAAAAAAAGCTTAATATTTGCTTAACGTGAAGTTTTTGAATAAAACAATGTAACAAGGTATAATGAGGCTATGAAATTGAGATAGTAACCTTTTTGTTCGAGGATTTGAACTTTGTGTGCCAACTCATCATATCGTGAGCAATTACATGGTGTTCCACTTTCTCCTTTAGCTCCCTGACGTCCCGTGGCGCCATTTTGTCCTGGTGATCCGATATCACCTTTTGCACCTTCTGGGCCTTTTTTGCCAGGTCGACATGTTGTTTGACATTGAGAATCATTTGGAACTGAAGAATAATTATTTTAGTGTACAATGACCTTACACGTAAACGTTGTATTTAGCAGAGTTGTTTTTTTATTCATTAATTTATCGCTTATGTTGATTTTCTGGTATTAATGCGCTTATCATTTTAAGTATTTATTACAAGTCTACAAATGTTTAAAAATAATCCAATATTTTACCATTTAATGCTGTTTCGCGCGCTTTTTCCATGATTGAAGATGCCATGTCCCAGGTGTCTAAAACTGAAAATATATACTTTCATAAAACTCAATAATCTGAAAATCTGTCTTATATTAAAAATTGTAATAACAAAATTAGCATTTCTGGCTACGCCCCTGGAATCAGGGTTCCCGATTAGGCATTGGTGAAATCTTGCAATTAAATCAGAAATTCTTTCTTGAACATAATCGACTTGTCAGTTAGACTTAAATCTATGCTGATATTATATCATTCCGTCTGCAATTTGATCAAAATAGAAAAGTAAAACAAATTAATAGAAAGAATAAAAGAATCTACGAATTGATATATTTTCTTAAACTCACATGACGTTGGCGAGCACTTCTTTACTTTTTCTCTCTCAATTTCTTTCAGTTTCTGTTCCAGCGCTTTGATTCTGATGTCGTATTGATCGATTTTTGTTGAAGTTACACTTTCAATATCACTAGATAGGCTTACGTTGTTATCGGAATTTCCCGAACCAGGTTCGATCTCTGGACTCATTGTGACAATGCCGATATTGCTTCGATGTTCTTGAGCGCAACATTCCACTACGCATAGGAACGTAAGAATGATGGATGCTAACAAACTCATTTTGTAGTGAGAACCTGCACAAGAGTATCGATTTACGATAATGAAGGTATAACTAAGGTACCTACGCTTTTATATGGTGTTTCATTTTGTTGCAACCCCTACCTTTTTTGTTAATTGTCGTTCGGCGAGATGAGCAATGGTTAAAGTATTAAGACTTTGGTGATTGGCATCGCAGATTACATACTTCGGGTTCAAATCGTTTGATATCAGTGGTTTGATACAGCCCCTTGTTTTACGTGAAATGCACGGGTCAGCGATGGTAAAGCAATCCCCACATTACTTGTTTCTTTATTTAAGAGAATTACCCAGAATTGCAAGAGCGTTCAACTTATGGAATTTTTTGCAACGTTAATTGTGAAATCATTTATTTGTATTTATACTTTTCTGCGTCATTTACTTTAGTCATTATTCAAGCCTGTTTTTACAATTATAATATTTTATTCGGTGCTATATATCTATTCGAGTGTCAAGTTTTTCCCTTATAATGGGTCGATAATTATTTCCTATTTCTGTTTAATGCATCAACTATTTGGACTGATAAAAATACATTCAATTTTATTTTTTCTTATCTGATGGTTTTAATAGGGTCGAGAGTCGGTGATATGCTTGAAACAAAACGCTGGTCATGCTATATACTTGCATTACGGCTGATGAGGTGACACAGAGTGACAAAACTCACTGTTATACTAAAATCAATCGACATAGAGATCAGTGTTCTGAATCATATAGTCAACCACAGGTCAGTTGATTGTATTTGATGGTGAAACAAATATCGAGAGTAATTTGTACTTTTAACATTAATTGTAAAAGGTTATGCACAATCGTTTATCTCACCATCCTATAGTTTTGTGTGAACATGTATATAATGAAACAGTGAATAATAAAGTGGATCTGGAGGTGGGGGGTTAATAAGCTACTGACTATCGAAGATTGAATATGTCAAAGCTTTTACAATTAATGTTAATAGTACAAAATCCTTTCGAAGCAGGTATCACCATCAAATACAATCGACTGACGTGTGGTTATCTATGTGATTTTGGAAAGTCACTTCCATTCTTTTCATTATGATATTGGGCGCTCCGGAAGTATTCGTACCACGATGACGCACAACCTGAGAAACCCTAACCTGGTACAATACTTTATTCAGGTTGTGCGCCATCTTGGTACGAATACTTCGGGAGTACCTGATATTTAGGCTTGACACTTTGTGTCAACTCATCAATCTTATATGCGAATATGTGACAAATGCAACGTTGAGGATGTCACCGATTCCTAACGCCGATTTAATTATATGATTCAATTCAAACGTAAGGATAGCGGGGTCAATAACTATTTGTCATTTACTTCAATTATAATCCTCGTATCAAACAGGAATGTCAATTAAGTATCTACTTATTCTAAGCAGAATTCCACAAAAAGTTGACCCAAATGTTTTTTAAAAACTCTCTCAATTATGGTTACATCTTGATTACGCATTGATTGTTTATATATATACATTTGAATAACACGCTTGAAAAAATTAATGAAAACAATTAAAAATATATTGTTTACGTTATGGGCTCTGGGCTCATACGATTACATATGTCATGGGTGGGTGTGTCATGGGGTAATACCGTTGAAATAAATTAAAAAGAACTCTAACGATTCCCGATCATTTTGTGGAAATAAGAAACAAGAAAGCTGGATTTATTTTAATGCGACGCTTAATGTTGTTTGAAACAGGACACCGACTCTTGACCCGAATTACCCTATCAAATTAGAGAAAATCAAATCAAATGTATAGGTGGCGCGGTATAAGAACTATTCTTTTACAGTCGAACACGGATACAAAATAAGTATGGGCTCATTATAAGGGGGGAAGCTTGAATGGATATGTGGCAGCGAGTAAAATTTTATAAATGTAAAGACAGGATTGAATGATGGCTGCTGGAAATGAAGCAAAAGAATATGTATGATTTCACAATTAACTAACGTTGCAAAATTGTTACAACATTGGACACTCTCACTAATCTGGGCCATTCTCTGTTAAAATAAAGGAACAAGAAATGTGATTTTCTTTAAGTACGACGCTTACTCGCGCCTTTCACTACAAACAAAGCCATGTACAAACAACCACTGACTTCTAATGATATTTGAGTAGCTACTATTTATTTAGAATGACCTGACCCTTTTGGTTTCAGCAGTGCTTACTCAATTTATTACCCCCTGAGTGGAGCAGGGCGCATGGGATTTGTGTAATCTGCGACGCCATTTGTATCTTAAGACTTTAACCGCGAGGTTATTGCACTGCCCGGCAATTGACAAAAAAAGCTATGGTTGCCAAAAAAATTGAAGCACTATATATAAATCGTTGGTACCTAAGTCATACTTTCATTATTGTAAATCGATACTCTTGTGCTGGTTCTCCCTACAAAATGAGTTTGTTAGCATTCTTCATTCTTACGTTTCTATGCGTAATTGAATGTTGCGCTCAAGAACATCGAAGCAATATTAGCTTTGTCACAATGAGTCCAGAGATCAAACCTGGCTCGGGAAAATTCTGATAACAACGTAAGCCTATCTAGTAAAATTGAAAATGTAACTTCAACAAAAATCGATCAATACGACATCAGAATCCAAATGCTGGAACAGAAACTGAGAGAAATTGAGAGAGAGAAAGTAAAGAGCTGCTCGCCAACGTCATGTGAGTTTGAGAAAATAGATCTGTTCGTATATTCTTTTACTATTTCTATTACTTTGTTTTACTTTTCTATTTTTATCAAATTTATAGACGAAATTATATAATATCAGCATAGATTAAAGTCTTGTTGATAAGTCGATGGTTCTAATTTCAATCAGTAATTTAGTGAATGAGTAAATAAAAAAAGATTTTTGATTAAATTTCGAGATTGTTCCAATGCTTAATCGGGAAACATGAGTCTAAAATATTGGTTTTATATTTAATGTTAATTTCGTTTTTACATTTTTTATTGTCAGATTTCATATTATTGAGTTTTAAGAGAGTATATATTTTCAGTTTTAGACACCTGGGACATGGCATCTTTAATCATGGAAAAAGCTCGCGAAACAGCAATAAATGGTAAAATATTTGATTATTTTCAAATAATTACAGATTTGAAATAAATAATTAATTGGAAATGATAATTTCATGAATACAAGAAGATCAATGCAAGTGATAAATTAGAAATACATTTACAACTCTGCTAAATGCAACATGAACGTGTAAGAATCTTTATAAACTATTATTTTTTAGCTCCAAATGATTCTCAATGTCAAACAACATGTCGACCAGGCAAGAAAGGTCCTGAATGTGCAAAAGGTGATATCGAATCACCAGGACAAAATGGTGCCACGGGACGTCAGGGAGCTAAAAGAGAAAGTGGAACATCGTGTAATTGTTCACGATATGATGAGTTGGCACACAAAGTTCAAATACTCGAAGAAGAAAAAGGTAACTATCTCAAATTCATAACCTTTATTATACTTTATTGCATTGTTTTATTTGAAAACCTAAAGTTAATTGATTGTATCGCATGTGTTGAATATGACCAAAAACTGAGGATTTGCAAATAGCTCTTTTGATGTTAACGTCAGCATTGATGTTTTTATATAAATCCCTATTTTAAGCAATTATAAAGGTTTTTTATATGGTTCTATATTTGTTTTTGTTTTATTTTTAGCTCGAGAATTACAACCCGTAGCAGATGGTTGGTATCGTGTTCACAGTTACCCATATTGGTACAAATTTGCCGAAGTACCGTCAGACTATAAAACAGCCAGAAAAAACTGCGAAATCATGGGAGGCCGATTAGCAGCAAATGGTATACGCAACCCAATTATTCGCAGGTAGTTTAACATTGTATATTACAATGATAATAGTATTGTCATTTAGTCATTTGGTTCAACGAATATTTAAACATCAATGCTATCCCCCCAAAAATAAAGAAAATAAGCAATCAATGCTAGCAATTAAGCAAGTGAAGCAAATAAATGTTTTTCTTTCATTTTTCGCATTTAAGGAAATAAGAGGTACTCCCAAAGTATGTATACCAGTTTAGGGTTAGGCCATCATTTTATTCCAATTTTCCCTGTTTTAGTTCTATTACGAGTTCGGGGACTAGCCAAGTGACTCCCGTAGTATTTGTACCTGAAATTATGACCTAACCCTAACTTGGTACACGTACTACGTTCCGGAGTCCGCCATCTTGGTTCACATACTTCGGGAGCACCAAACAAAGAATTTTGGAAATCCAAAGCCTTAAACAATAATGATTCGAACTTCTTTATTTGTAATTGTCAAATTATTTAACATTGTTAGTCTAAATCATAGGTTCTCAAAGTGCTCCGTACGGAGCCCCAGAGCTCCGCGAGAGAAACCCAGGGGCTCCGCGAGCTATTCGATTACTTTTCAAAATACTGACCAATTTTGTAACTGTTCAAAGAAGCAATAACAGCTTGATGACATTATTTAAGGCTGATTTAAAGAATACTATTTTAAAATAACATAAAATATATATGTGATAAACTGCCAACTATAAATAAATTGGAGTCGTATTTTTGCGATCTTGGGATTTGTCAAACTTGATTTGTTCTTTCGCACTTGAAATTATTTTTAAGCAAGATATCGCCGATTAAAAAATCACAATGTATGGGCAAAATACGAACAATCGAAATTTATTTTATTGCATTCGGCTCCGTCGGTAGTTTCAGAATGAAAAAAGGTACATCGCGGATCGCGCGCACAATTGATTACTGCGGCTCCGTCTGTAGTTTCAAAATGGGAAAAAAAGGTACATCGCGCGCATAATTGACTGTGTTTACTACGATGAAAACCTAACATAACACCAAATTTTGTGATTTACAATCTCTATTAAAGCGTTTTCAATCTGAAGAGAGTCTGCTGAAACCAA